GGTCCAAGTATAGGTTTCGCATTAGCACAATTAAATGTTCTGGGATTCCCATTCTTCTCAGAGTCAGCCACAGTTTGTTATACACAACTTATTTTTGTAAACATAAAACTACTCCGAAAAAGTCTACTAAAAAACCACATGCATTAAGGCCAGATCAATTTGAAAACAACAGATCCTTCTCACTTCAGTAAATGAAGTAGTAAAAATTTACACACTAACCTGGGGAAAAAAAATGCCACAAAACCACCACCCAAAACCAACCCAGCATCTCAAATATAATACAAAGGTTGAGAGCTGCTGGTGGAAATAACTAGCTGCAATAATGCAGGTTTGAAGAGGAAAAGGCATTTTACTTGGTGGTGGGAGGGGAGGTGGGAAAGGAAGCTGCTCTCCTCCCAGGAACCTGATGGAGAGTCACTAGGAGTCGGAATGAAAGGAGCTGAGTCTGCTTTTTGAGTTTGTGATCACACTCACAGGAGCCACCTGAAAGTTAATTAAAGGAGGTTTTCCTAGAAAACAGGCACTCAGGCCAAGTTCTGCCCAAGTTCAGATTCCCAAGTCCCCCTTAAAGCACATGCATAGACCGCAGTTAAGAACACCTATTTCATAAACTACCCGCTGAAGACACAGCCTCTCTTCTTCCCTGCTCCCTCTCTTTGAAACGTATGACTTCTTATTCCATTCGCTGCTTGTCTTTAAGCCCATTTTTTCACGTGACTAAGAGCCCACGTTGAAATGGGAAGATGAGAATCTCCTCTTGAGCTTGCTGTTGATGTTGTTAGGTGCCGTTGAGCATGACCCATAGTGACCCTATAAACAACAGATCTGAACCCAGTCCTATCCTGCACCATCCTGACAATTTCTGACACAGCAGAGCCCCTTGCAGCAGTTACTATGTCAATCCTCATGGTTGAGGGCCTTCCTCTCTTTTGTCAACCCTCCATCTTTCCAAGCATGATGTCCCTCTCCTGGGAAGCGCTCTCCCAGCAACATGCCCAAAGTATGTGAGACGAAGCTCTATCATCTTTGCCTTCAAGGAGCACTCTGGCTGCACTTTCTCCAAGACATATCTGTCCTTTTGACAGTCCACGGGATGTTCAGTGCTCTTCAACACCATAGCTCAAAGGAATCATTTTTTCTTATGTCATCCTTATTCATTCTCGAGTTCTCAGATTCATAGCAAATAATCAGAATGACTATGGCCTGAATCAGATGTACCTTACTCCTCAGACTGACTATGGAAGTCAAGGGATGGTTTTGCCAGTCCACTGAAAATGCCTCTGGAAATGAGCGTGCTCTCAACACTGAAGGAAAGGCTTCAAGAAGAAGAAAGGCTTGTGGAGTTTGAAGCAAGCAGTTTGCCATTAGGCACACAAAGGCAGGAAAAGGCAGTGCCCCTTGAGAGCCCCCTTCCAGGATCAGATGTGAAAGGAAACCAGTGGGTGGATCGCTTGGTATGCTCCTTCTTAATCATCTGAACCCATCTGGTGAGTGGACGTGGGGGTAATGCAGCAATGACACGAGTTCCACTTAGACATGTTCCACTGGTGCCCACTGACCGAGCGCACACAGACTGCAGACGAGAAGAAAGAGCAGTTGGTGTGATGAGCAGGCGTTGTGAGGGCTCCAGATCTGCTGACTCAGCCCATGTGAGGCGCCAGGGGTGAGAATGAAGAGCCCGGTCCGCCTAAAATGTAGAAAGGTGTGTGAACCCTGGTGTTTTGACCAGTGCTTGCTGAACCTAGCTAGCTCCAGATGGCAAAGAATGAGCTGACCGGAACTCAATCTGATGAAGAGCTGTCTGACATGCGCTAATGTAGTCTGATGGCTTGCTCAGGAC